CGGCCCGGGAGTAAATGATTTTCCAAAATAGGTTTGTAAACTCACTTCTTCAAACAGCTCGATGAGCGCGGGGAAGGCAGCGCTGCCCGGCGGTGTTTCACCACCAAATATTTCTCCGTTCTGCTCCTTTCACGACTTTAGATAAAGGCATTCCTGAAGCACTCGTGACGTTGTTAAACAAAGAACCAAAATAGATTTCCAGCTGCCCCAAACCACGTACTTTAGCAGGAAAAGCACCAGATGTGCAGCCATGCACATCTTCAGGTCCCCGTGACGCTTTTCCACGAGCGCCAGCCTTGAGACCTGTGTCGAGGTGCAGAGAAGGGCGAGGGGGACGCCCCACCTGCACACATGAGGACAAAAACTGAAGAGCACAGCACAGCACGATGGGCTGTTACCCGTGTCCTTATTTAGGTGCACTTTTGACAAGCCCTCCATGGGTTCCCACCAAAGGGCAGGGCAGCAGCAGGTGCTCAGGAGAGCCCACCAGCAGCTGCTGGGACTGCTACCTGCTGCAGTCCCACCTCCCCCCATCCACACCAGTTCCCAGACTTCCCAACAACCCATCGAGGGCTTTCTCGGGACAGGGAGATCCCTGATGAACAGGAGACACGGAGGCATTATCGTCTTCAGCAGGAAGATGCTTTAACTACAACACTGCCGTGTAAATGACCACCCAATTCAATCCTGAAAGGGAATGTCTGCAGACTGCCTGAAATCTGTTTTCAGGGCTCCTTCAGCAGCCTTTATGAACAAGGAAACACGAAGCCCTGTGTTTCCAGCAGGGATTTCTTCAAGGGTTAGAAGACGCCCATCACCTGACATCCTTTTTCCTTATCTCCCATGGGTTTACCTACTCACTGCGCTAGGAGCCTGGAGCACTTTACCCATCCCAACCCTGCCTGGCTGGGGTGCTGCCTCGTCACAACTGCTGCAGGTGCCCCCTCCATGGGGCACGAGGCCCTGGGGAAGGGATCCGAGCTCCAGGCTCTGTCCTCCCCGCACGAGGGGACATTTGCCCCGTCTGCTGCCACGCTCCAAGTGCCTCTGTCTGGTTGCTGCTTCTTCTGTTGTCCCTCCTGCTGTTGCCGTCCTCTTCTTTCCATTCCCAGTCCTTGAGCAGAACTGGAACCAGCACCAGCTGGACGGGAAGCAACACACAGCAAAACACTGCAGAAAAACCCACACAGCCCCCGCTCTGCTCCCTAACTGCAACCACGAAGCGCATTCACTGGGGCTCCTCGCTGCGGGAGCCACCACCACACAATGGCAATAAAACAAATATTGTTTTCCTTGTCATACCTTCCTACGCCGCTAAACAAGCAGTCTCCAGGCCAAGTGCATTTTCTGTTCCAGTTGGTGCTTTGCTGGTCCCATTTGGTGTCGTTTATGTCTGGGCGCTGGGTGCGGCGCTCCCCCAGCTTATCTCGTGTCACACAAACTGTCTCCTAAAGCCACCGCGCAGATTTTCAGGATGAATACAAGCAAACACAAGGCCACACATGGATAACGCGGTCGATAATAACAAGTCTAAGCTAAATAAAGATGCCAAGCCATTACAAAAAGCTCAAGAGTACAACAATAAACCTCTCTCTATGTATTTCACCATCACCAACTGATACAGGCTTTAACAGGCCAACAACATCACACAGCAATAAAACTTTAAAACAAATGAAGATACTTGGAGGAAAAACGTGGAGAAAACCACTTTAAGTTATACTGCTCTGATAGCTTCGGGTACGGCTTTCCAGCAGAACCATTACCAGTTACGCCCGCTTTTAATGGGCAGGGACATGCAACCAAACAATGTGAAGGATATTTGAGGAGCTTTTGCACTTCAGTGAAAATCTCAGGTTTTTCTTTTTCTGACCAAGGAGAAAGAAACAAGATACGGGAGTTTTTAGGGAGCTCACCTCCCTTCATGGAAGTTACATCCTGGATGCCCAAACTTGTTGCGTTCCCAAAGCAGTTCCAGTGAGGTCCATAGCAGTGTAAAGGAATAACGCAGGAATCAGCTGCCAACGTGAAATGCCCTCAAACCAAGGGGTGTCAGAGTGTATTTAGAGGCTGAACACGGGACAGAAAGCCTTAAAGATCCCAGCACAGGTCCCTTAGATCTACCTCAGAAACCCAGGCTGCAGGTAACGTACTGCTGACACTGTGCTTGCACCAAATTTTTACTCAAGTGAGGAAGGCTGCTTGCAAACAGCGCTCTGACCAAGAAAAGGAATACACGGGGTTCAGCAGAGGTAACAAAAAGCTTCTTCTAAGCTTCAAGGATAAGCTGTCACTTGGCAAAACCTGTACCCAGCTTCACTTCTCAAAGCACTGACCTCCTCGTAGCTGGACCAAGTTAGCCCAAACATCAAAGGCAGAATTGAGGTCAATCAGTACCTCTCAAAATCCCAGCACAGCGTCCCAGTGGGAGATCCTCAGGTCTGAAGTTTAAAAAAAATCACTCCTAACTCCATGTTCAACTACTTGTATGTGTCCCTGCTCTCAAAAAATCTAACCGTTAATTTAAGTTTCTTAACTTTTAGTATTTTCTGTTAAAAATGTCAGTATAAAGCTATTTTGACAAGAAATAAAAATAAATAAAAAAAGCTATTGCTGATTTCAGAAGTCTCCCTGCAAAGACACTCACCCTGCTCACTGATTTCCCCTTTTTAATGAAGTTTAGAGGTGTCTAAGAGGACAATGGTGACTCTGTCCAGGAAATTATCTATTTATTTTGATGGAAAGCTTCTGCTTAAAAAGAAGCTTCTCTCATTGCTATTAGAAATTAATCTCTGGTCTGGAGAGTCAGGGCAGGGGAACAGGGCCAGGCCACCTCTGGGAACCACCTCCTGCCCCCGGGAACGTTTCCACCCACCCCTTAGCATCCTTGTGTCAAACACCAGACCCAATAATGCCACCTGAATATCAACAGCACCTTTTGTTCCAGACAACTCTAACCAGAACAGCCTAACCACAAAACAAAGAAAAACGAAAGGAAGAGCAACAGCCAGGGGAGGCAGGAGGGAGAGAAACAACAACTGAGGAGATGGCAATCAGCCAGCTCACAAAGCGTGATGCTAACAACTTGGAAGCTCAGTTTCACCAGAAAAAAAATGTGTTTTTACATTCTTTTCCTGTATGACTTGCAGACAACTTCCTAAAGATGGCAGTGGATATATTTCCATTGGTCTGCTACGCTGCAGTTCTTCCACCAGAACTACCTGCCTGGCTCTTGCTGAAGCAGTCCAGAAGATCCTGCTGGCTGACAGACTGACCTGGTGGCCACTTAAACAGATTTACTCTGATCAAGCCAAATAACCAAATAATGGAAATCACATTATAAAGCCCAGATGAGGAGCTCTGCAAATAGAAAATTCATGTCTCTGCTTTGCCAGCTGTGACCTCCAGTTCATTTTTTAAGCTGCTTTCTGTGAAGGCTCCTTACGCAGGTCCACCATCGGGAAGGACATCCCTGAAGGACATCCCATCATTCCAACCTGAGTCGTTTTGGAGGACAATCAGAAATTCATGGAAGTTCCCAGACTAAGAGCAGAGCTCTCTCTCTTTTTTTTTTTTTTAAATTAAAAATTATGCCAATCTTGACAGGGGAGGTTATAAGTTTCCTCATTCCTCCTCTTCACCCCTCGCTTGAAGGTGTTACTGCTGATGGTTGCCTCCTGCATGGAGGTACCAGGCACCTGAAAAGTTTTCATCCGTCAACTAATTCTTGACCTTCCCACTAACACAGCCGAAAGCCTGGCCATTTAGCACCAGATAGGCTAGCATTTTATACAGCCTCTCTGTCCAGCAGGAACTGCGCTGAGACCAGTGAGATTTACCCCATAGCCACAACCAAACAGCAAGGTACTGCTTTCTTCAGAGCCACCTGAGGCTTAACCCTACCCAGGTTTCTTCTTTTCATGCCACACAAAACAATTAAAACCCCCCAAAAAGCAGCCTCTCTCTTCATACAGAGATTCGTAACACACATTTGAACGCAGTAAGTACTTTAAAACCTTACATAAATAAAGGATAATGTAATTCAGAAAAGATTAAAGAATGATGTCATTAAGAGCTGTCTTATAAAGTTACAGAAAATACTTTTAGTATTTATTACCCAAATTACCTTCCTCTCTTAAACGTTTTTAAATCAGAAATGAGATCTAAACAATGAAAATATACTCTGCATTCAAAGTTTACAGTGTATAATAAATGATGAGAAAGTTACTCTTGTTCTTTTCTAGCACATATGGAAGTGAAGTGTTTAAAACATTGATTGTTTAAAAGAAACAATTACAATGTTACTGGAAAAATCAGACACTCCATCACACCTTCCTGCAACCACGAAATGCAAAGATGTTTCTGTAAACACACAACATAATACACGTTGATTAAAGACAACCAACTGCCTGGATTTGAGCTATTCAAAGGTCTTTAAAAACAAACTGAAAATGAACAAACTCTGTTTTCCAGCAGTGTTCTCAGTTTCTGTAAATCTGTATCAAGCAGCAGCAAGTCAACTTGATTAAGCTGCACCGCAATACTTCCAGCATGTGATGCACTGACCAGCTCGTGATTTTGGTTACTGCACTTCAAAGGGGGAAAAAAAGAAAGTCCCATGACCAGCTGCAGAAGAGTTATTCAGCCTAAGTAGTGTCTCAGAGCAAAACAGGTATCTTGGATGCAGACAGGCTCATTTCGTAGGAAAGTTTGTTCAACCCTTAATTGCATGAAATAAACTTTTTTGTGTGCGTTTGTGTTTTATTTTACAATCTATCATAGCAGAGCCCAGTCCTTGTTTAGAGCTCCTCGTTAAACGTGTATACTAGAAACACAAGAGCACAGGAGGACAGGATGAGGAGCACCGTTGGAGTATCTCTTTCCCCATTTTCTCACCGTTAACAAGGATAACAGAAAATACATGCTATTTTGGAAAAGAACGAGTTTCATCTTTCTTCATATAATATATGGCAACCGAAGTAATTCCAGAAATCAGTACTTACTCCATCATAGATGGTGGAATAGTGCAGCAGTCCTGGATTGCAGTCAAGGGCGACGTGAGGTGAGCGGTGTACGACGCTTCCACTACTTGCTTGTTTCGGTTCACGACATCCAAGTAACGGTTAAACTTCTCACGGATTTTTTTTGCCAACTGAAAAAAAATAATAACAAGCAAGATGAAAATTCTGTCAGTTTCTTTGCAATACTATGATCCTTTTTAAGAAAACAGAACAGAAATTAAAAATCATATATGTTAAAGCTAATAGTTGTCTGCCTTGCTCACTGTACTCCCTATTTTGGTGGCTCAAGGTATGGTAAGTCAAGTAATTAATAATATTGGCCACAGAAAGCAGTATATATAATGAAATAATTTTACCATCAAGTACTTGAACACTGTTCTGCATGTATGAGGACTGAAATTTCCATTTTATCAAACCTTCCTTTCACCGAACTGGCGCCCTGATAGGGCTCTACCCATGCTGCTGCGCTCAGCACTGAAGCTCCAACACGATGCTCTTGCAAGGTCTGACGAGGATACGATGGGGACTAAAATAGATTGACGTGTGGTCTCAGACTCCTAAGCAAAGTCCAAATAATACCCCTAATACTACCCCCTGTGAAAATGTAGATAAATATCATACAGACAACAATACATCCGTCAGAGCACTGGATATATTTAGGAGAGCAAGCTCAGGACCCGGACAACTCCAAATACCGTCACGCACATTTTCTCTTGATCAACAGTCTCCTCGGGCAGGTCAATCAGTGCAGAAGTATCTCTCAATTCCTTTCACGTACTTCTCTTTACTGTGGTTTGGGCAAAATAAACCGTCCCAGTTCTTGCTCCTGTCTTTGCCTCTCCTGCTGCTTTCCTGGGGGTGCCCCAGGGACGGAGCCGAGCCTCTCCCTGCTCTCCCCGTGCCCTGTGACTCCGAACCAAGGCTGAGAGGCGAGGGATGCTGCAGGGGCACGGGGCAGGACTCCTGCAGCTGCCCTGCTGGGGTAGGTGGTTGCTCGTGCATCATGCGAGGCACTTCACGGCGGGCTAACCTAATGACTTGCAGAGGAAAATTGGAAGGGAAAATTTGTGGCTGTAGCTTGAGCGGATGTGACAGCAAACGCAGCCCCCAGGGAGCATCGGGCTGGACGAGGAATGTTTATTAGGGGTTTTGCTCCGTCTTTCATTCAAAGTTAGGAATAAATAAAATAGCTTGGGCACACAGAAAACTTGGGCTGGCACACTCAACGTGCTTCTCACACCTACACAGGGATCCCCCAAAACGAAAGAGAACACTCTGTGGGCAGCATGCTGCGGTGCTGAATACTCGGAAGTGTTTCATTCTGCATTTCTGCAAACTTTCAGGGCTGGGTCATGAGTGCATGACTCCCACGTGTCCTGCACACCCCAACTGTGCGGGGCTGACCAAGCAGTGCCACATTTGTGTGCCCAGACCCCCTGGCTGACCAGCATCTCCCCTGCCTGTTATTAACAGGACACTTCACCACGATTTACTTTGCTCCCATCACACGCTGTAACTCAGTGGCAGGTCTCTGGGGAGCACGGGTTTGGCAGAACCTTGCCCGGATGAGCTGCAGCATCACACCTCAATTACCTTCCTGCAGTGATGCCAAGGCACCAGAGGACCTACCAACGGTCTCCTCCACGCGAGGCATCCAACGCTGTTAAATCGCTCCCAGTTGTCAGATAAGCTGCTGGGTGGTTCCTTCTCTTCTCTATTTTCAGGTAAACTCTCTCTTGGGAAGTATGCACAAACTTGGGAAGCGGCGTCTTCAGCAGTGCCCCAAAATCCACAAGGCACATTTCCTACACTGAAGCATTTACATTTCTTGGTCACCAAGCTCCCCTCTCAATTTGGTCAAACAAAATATCTGGGCTTAAGCACGACTTAGTCCAGATACTTGGATCTATACACTTCTTTCCTGATTTCCCTGTTTGAAAGCTCTTTCCCCATTTAGAGTTTGCTGAAACAGGAGCCGCGTGGCCTTCGTTAGCAGTAGCAAAACTAACAGGGAACATCAGAGCACAAGGAGGCCCGCCTGGAATCGCTGCCTCTTGCTGATAAACGCCTGCTGCACGGGGACAGGTTTAGCCATTGACGAGTTTTCACCTTGCAGGTTGCGCGATGAAAGCTCCCCACGCCCTTTGAATTCACCCTGCCGGCCAGAGTCTGAGGATCTGAGCAATCTGGTGGCGGCAGAGCCCGCACCTCAGGAGCTGATAAAAAGCAACTGCTCAGTGCCGAAGCTGCATCTCCCACTTAAGGGATGCTGAACGGCTCGAAGTCATTGCGTTACCTGCATTAAATGAGCTCCAATGCTTCGGTCCAATGTGTTTCATCAGCAAGGGAACCAAATCCCTCCCGTGCTACCCAAGCAACCACCCTGCCCCTGGCACGGGCATGCAGCAAGGGCTGAGTTTGGCCCATGTAAGCACCCCAAAAAACACCAGCCCCTGATAATAAGAGGATTTGCCCCCAACAACCCAAACAGATGAAAACCAGCTGGCTCAAAGCACGCCACTAACAGCGAGATGACCCAAAAGCAGTTTTTTCATTGAAAATTCATCACCGTGCACAAATCACGTTAAGACTCTAAGGACAACGCACCCATCAGCTGAAAAATGTCTTTAAAAATGGTCCAAAGTCATCAAATCGAGATGTGTAATCCGCATGAAGCCTAACAAAGCTAACTTGATTTCTCTTCCATAGTTGGGCTTCACTGGAGCACAAAACATCCTAAAACCCAGGACAGTGCAGAGTCATTCTAGTTCTGGGTGATTAAACCAGCAGCAAACACTAACACACATTTCCCAGCTCCTCACCTCGGCGCTGCGTGCCCATGCATGCACACACACATCATTAGCTCGGGAACATTATTCAGCTTGCAAAGGGGTGCACTCGGCTGTTAGCGCCTGTCAGGAGGAAAGCTGCAGCCTTAAATCAGCTTCTTACTTTTCTAAATTAAAAAAAATATAAGAAAATAAAGAAGGAAAAAAAAAAATCTTTCATCCAGAGATCGCTCGCTGCTTTCCCAGCCCACGCCCTGCCTCTTTCAAGCTGCCCAGAGCTGCACGCTGAAGGATGCAAGAGCCGTGCCACATTTGTGGCCAAAACTCAAAGGTACAGAAGGAAAGAAAGGACAAATGACAGAGGGACAGAGCTCTGAAACATGAAAACATCCTAACAGGGTTATTTCAAATATTTTAGAAGGCAAAAATGGAAAACTGCGCCCTTAATCAAGCACATAAAAGGGATGGATGCTCACATGCCAGAGCTACCCACGGGTGCGGACCGGCTGGGACAGACATTTCCTGCTCCTGCAGAAGGGCTCAAACCCTCCCGTTTTAATGCAGGCTAAAATAAACTCCGATACCTTGAGATTGACATAAAATGCTATTAGCCTCGGGTCAATTCTCAAAGCGCTCTTCATTTTAAAAACAGAAAAAAAACACCCTTGCTCAGCATTCATTGCTTTTTTATTTTTATTTTTAAATTTCCAAGCTGGATTTTTACCTTTTCTCCCTAATTTTAAGAAAGTGGCTACCAAGAAACGAAGTGCTGGCTGCAAACAATGCGGCCATTAGCTCTATTTCTTCCCCCTTTTTGGCAGCTGGCGTGCAGCCAGCGCCTTTCAGATTGCAGACAGGTTGGATGGTAACACCTGTTCCTATTACAGCAGCACCCATGGGTAATGCACTTCAATTGTCACCATCTCCACTGACAACCTTTCATCACAACATCAGTGAGCTTCCCTAATTTTCCCAGAGACATTTTGCTCATTTGCATCGCTCCCTGGAGCTTTGTTAAAGCCTCGCTCCCCTCAAAGCTCGGCTGCTCTGAAGTCTCCCTTTTTCAGGGGGCACGGAGGGAAAGCAGAGCTCCGAGGTTAGGTTTTAGTTCTGGCTGCATCTCAAAAGCCAAGGGATTTTTCATGTTATCGAGGCTGTGTATAAAATATGTAGCAAGGAGGCTGACAGGCACGGATGCCCTAACGGACTTAGGGGGGATTTAGTGCCGCCGGGCTCCTCGGGAAGCGCTGCTCACACGCTAACGAGTTGAGGCAGTGGGGTTGTTTTTAAGCCCCGTTTATGAACCAGCAGAATCCTGGAACAAAAGACATCCACCACACACCACAACATCACGGTACTATGGATCCACAGAGCCCTGTTCTAAGAGGTTTTTCCCATACTTATTCCCAAGCTGCTGGGCTCCTGAAGAAGCTGCTGCTGCTGCACGGACTCCAAACAGGGTCTTGTCTCCAGAAAGGGACCTCACAACCACCGCCAGGTTATTCGGACACCTTTCTATTAACTTCAAATCACTCCTCCTGCTCTGATGATAATGAAGATATATTCTAGAGGAGAGGATATATTCATCAGGAGGCAGGAAACTAGTTTCCAAGACACATTTCTTCAAAGGGAACAGCACTTATTTGTGGCACTCCATCCTCCAGGAATTTTAGCAAGGTTTCCCAAGATACACCGAAGGAAAGAGATTTCAAATGTGGTCCACAACAAAAGCTAGGGAAAGGGCCACAACTCCCATAAGTTACTCTGGAAAAATGTTAAACGCCATACATAGCGCCTTTAATCACAAGCCTCATAATCAACCAATGTAAAATTCAACATCTTGTGACCATATCGTGGCTCCCAGCCAGGGAGATGTCATGCTTAACAGTAAAATCTTGATTTTTCACCGCGCTTGTTTCCTTTGGAAATTTGAGCCGTGTCTGCCAACAAGGGCCATGTCCTGAGCGACACAAGACAAGTCACGTGCTAAAACATCAGGAGGCTGCAGAGGCTGTCCTTTAATTGTCACTCGGGTCATTAACAGGCAGTGCTGCCATGTTTCCCCCACCCCACAGAGGAAGAACCACAGGAGGAGCCCCCAGCAGCCTCACCAACTGTTGGTGGAACAAAACCTGTTCCTTCTTTTCTTAAAACAGTTCCAAACCCAAGTTTTGCACAGGTTGTGTGGAAGTCCTCCATCAATCCAGAAGATGAGAGCAGCCCAGGAGCACCGAAACAGATGGGAGAGCAGCAGGGAGGAAGAAACTCCCAGAAGCCAAGCCCAGAAGCGCAGCATTTCAATTGGTGGTAGAAAAATAAAACACTCCAAACATTATTTACAAACAGTATAGCAATCCAGAGAAAGACACCCAGAATATCATCATCTGGGATTTGTCTAAGAGCGACTCCAAAACGTGTCCTACCATTGAGAGCACACCCAGGCAGCTGTATCCCACTCGTGCCCAATTTCTAATTATCGTAGCTCAAGCATGAACAACATGCGCCTCCCAAAACTCGCCCAGGTGTGACAGCAAGATCAGTATCTGAAATAACACTGTCCATGGGGAGTATAGGACCAACACAGACAGAGCTATGTGAGCAGTGGATCTACAAACCTGGGTAAAAAGTTCTCCAGCAGATTAACAAGAAATACTGTTAGGTGTTCCTTGTAACAAAGTAAATAATGAAATAGAGGTTCTGCTTTACATCAGGTAACATGTTTCACTTGATGTCTGAATATTTTAACCATTTCTTTCAGCTTTTGTAACTCTGAAAAACAAGTATCATATCTGAATTACAAATACATCCTGCTGTTCTAACAAGAACGCTTTGTTTCTCTCCAAAAGGCGTTTTTGTGGCAGACATAATCCAGTCAATTCAACCACAAGTCACTGATGACTTCAGCTTTTAGAGGTTTATTTATTTAAGATATGCTATTCATCAAAAAATCCTTTTGGAAACCTGGTTAAATTAGAAAAAAAAAGCGTAGACAAACAAATGAAAATGTTTTGCCTTAAAATTCTGTTCCTGAGCCTCCTCACCAACTTCCTTCAATTCCTGAGCAGCTCCTAGCAGCTTTACACAAAATTCATTCTCTAGGTTATTATGGATGATTTTGGAGCTGATAATTATGCTCTGGATGAGCTAGCAGGGAAGGCAATGACTTTTCTAGCTCTAAACACAGAAGTTACACAGAGACTTTCTGTGTGAGGCCACTCAACACACACCTGCTCGGGGCTGCTCCACCGTCCACCTTCCTCTCTGGTTTCCAGTGTTATGCTCTCCATACTGCAGAACCCAGACATCTGGCACGATGCTGAACGCACGCTGCCTTCCCTAAAAAGGGCTAACCTAGACTAAAACTCACCATTTTCCACCTTTTTCCATCACAAGTTCACACCACTACAATTTTCATAGCGTACGAGTTCTCCGATATTGAAATCACTGGCAGGAAAGGTACTCACGTTATTTTTGGCAACTGTCATCCAATGTTTAATAACCTGTTCAAAGTGAGAAAGGATACTTTGGATAGCAATCCTACAGCTCTCGACCTTAAAAGTGTAAGCAGATTAACGTCAAAAGGTAAACCTCTCCCTGTGTGGCACGAAGAAAGCCAAGCGTATTAAATCGTTCGGCCTGAAGGCCAACAGCTGTAGCTTTTCCACTCTCCCAGCAAACTGAAAGTCATTATTTACACAGTTTGGTATATAAAAAAACAAGCCCCACAACAATCCGGTGGCCTGCCAGACAAAAATCCCAGCTGACAAAACCGTAATTAATTGCCTTCGGGTATCAGTTGCTAAGAAAATGTTAATGAATGACAAAAGCAGGAAAAAATGACAGGGGAGTGAAATTTGCTTACGTTTGTTTGCATTTGCTCAAGATGATCCCATTCGATGCTCTACTCTTACTCATAAAACCTGATTACATCGCTTGTGATTCATTAGGGCTCGAAGACCCAGTTATTAATGAAACAGAAGTGCTCAATTATTCTGCTATCCACTTCGCTGGTGAGCTTTTAACCGCAGTAATTACGCTTTGCCGGGGCCTCGTTTTTCTCCTCTGACAGCTCAGAATTCATCACACTACCTACAGTGTTTAGACAGTTATTTGTATCTACTTGGAGTGAATACGTCCATCTGTGACCGAGAGACAAGCAGCGCCTTTTTCTAAGGGCAGAATCTATAGTCAAAACTTCAAAGAAGTTTTAATTCGGTTTCTTGGTTTCCCGAAAACACTTTTGGCTTTCAAGAGCCATCTGATACGTATAATCTAGCCCACATGGCCCTTTTGTGGTGTGCAGACCACCCAGGAACACTTGTGAAAACCCGATCGCTGAGTCAGAGCCAGCGAAGCCTTCGGTGGGGATGTCGGGCTGGTTTCAGGCTGACACTTGTGAGGCCACAGCTCCTCTTCTGCAGCGAGAGCACCTGCACATGCCCCAGTGCCTCTCTCCTGTCCGTGTCTGACCTCAGACACCAGGGGAAGCAGCTGCCAGCAGAAGCGAGGGTGCAGTGCCCTGCCAGCAGCGGGTTTCTTGCACAGGATCCCAGTTTGAGCATCCAAAACCTCTGCGTACCCTCCCCTCTGCTTTAGGTGAAAATGGCTTTTGGCATTTCTTTGTTTAGTTCCACTCCCGCAGCCAAGCTGCACGTGTAGGGCAGGGTCCCACAACAAGACCACAGCTCCAGAAAAACTTGGATCAATGTTCCTCAGCTGACTGCAGCTCGGAGAATCCCCCTAATGCTCAACTTCCATCAGAGGGGTTGAGACTCCATTATCCGCAGGGTCAAGCAATTGTTAACACCAGCACTGGGGTAATTTACTAGGGTTAATTATTTGCTCTAGTTTCTTCTATCATTTCTCACATACATCTGTACCTCACCAAACAAAAATCTGACACAAGCAGTACCAAAGGTTAAGCACAAACTTTTTTTTTTTAAGCAAACCTTACCATTTTTATGCTAACAGCCAAGAGATTCATCCTAAAATCCACATGATGTCATTCTAACAACCTAATTTAAACCCCTTATCATTACTCACACAGCTGTACATTATCACAGTTGTCTGTCAGCGTTACTGCACGCTGCAGTTTAGTGCTGGTATGGGATAAGATTCCTACCCCTAAGATTCAGTTTTTGTTTAACAGAAACCCAGCATTGCTGGAACTTTTCAGGCACTCCCCCATTTTCTGCAGATAAACCAAGTTCCCGCATTGATCATAATCCTATCAAAAGCCCCCGTGTTTGGTCTGAAAGAGCAGAGGAGCTGAGCCCCGCTCTCCATTTCAAACTCACCCAAAGCTTAAACACATCGCACATAGATTCTAAATCTCATTTGATCCAGCTCTGCTTTGACTTTCTCCTTGGAGAAAAAAAAAAAAGAAGTATCTGTCAAGTTCACTATTTTACAGTAAACATAAATTTGCTGCTATTACATGACTCTTTTTAATGCACATGTGCACATACGATATGCTCTAGGAAACATCCAACAGCACTCACATGCACATCTGACTACCTGCACAGCTACAGAGCAGTTCCCCTTTCCCCGGGGAAAGCTCCACTCTGAGGCACTTTTGTTTTTGCTGAACATTAAAACTGGTTTGATAGGGGTCTAAGAAGGTCAGGTTACTCGCTGAAGGTTGTACAAATGAGTCTGTGCTTCAACTGGAAGGAAAAGACGGTTCTTTGTTCCAGCCCCCAAGCAGAGCCTGCCACTGCTACCAAAATTCATCATGTTCCGAATAAAGATGCAAGTGGAAGAGTACAGGACTGGTACCTTCATTTCTTAAAGATGAAAATTGGACCTCTTTGATCTGTCCTCAAATTTATCCACCCACTAATTTTCCAAATGTATACATGCATTAAAATGCAAAGAGCCTACACGTTAAAAGATACATCACCTCAGTGTTAAATTGGAATGTTTATTTTCCCCACATTTCCAAATGTGATCTCATATAGGGAAAGAAAACACATAAAACAACAAGAAATCCTAAAATAACTGTTACAGGAGGCTACAGCTGTCCCATATTTACACACAGCAATTGATACCATTTCCACATTTACAAACAATATTAGTGTTCTCACCTCAAATGAAAACAGTTTTAAAAGAGACACTTCCAATGTGAAAACCAGTCAATGTGAGATACTACACAAGGGCCCCACCTCTGCATTTGTTTTTTTGCTTCCAAAGGGAAGGACCCACAGAAAGCAGATCGAAAGGCTTTCCAAGACAACAGAAAACTGTCAAATACACAGTCAGCTCATACAATACATTTCCATTTATGTTCTATTCCACTTACTTTCCTTAGTGTTGCATGTTAGAATAGTGGCCACAATAAATTCAGACAGAACTAACTGCTGAGCTGACTGTGGCTGTGAAGCTAACCACAGCTTTTGTCTGTGCCACAGGACAGCTGCAGGTGGGCAGGGGGGGCTGCCTTACCTGTTGAACTTCACTTTCTCCATTCGATATTTTCTCCGTGTACACAAAGGAGTTGAATATCCTCTGCAAAAAAAATCAGAAAGGATGCATTAGAGACGTTTTGTCCCAAAAGTCACAGTAACGCAGTTTCAAAAGGTGCACGTGAGGAAATCTGTGTCAGAGATGGACCACTTCACCTGGAAGTCTCTAATGCCAGGTCTACCTATGGGGAATCAAATTCACCTGTACCTGCTTCTGGGTCTGCATGAAGCATCTGTTCTCATGTTTGAAGGCAAAAAATATAACAGGTTGTGGTTCCAAAACATGTTAGTTTACTAATAAAGTGAGGATATTTAGGATTATACACTAGAAAACAGAAAAAACACCCATTGCTTTGTGTCCTTCCCTTGGTGTGACACTGGTGACATTGCTAAGCCTTGTGTTTTCAGCCAGATAGTAAGACAGAATCAGATCACAAGATTATTGGCACTAACTGCAGATACTAAAGAAGTCTAATTTTTTTCCAAACACAGCATAACCATCAGTTAGCAACTCCAAAAGTTTTCCTGATGCAGGTTTGGCTGATTTCCTCCTCGGAAGGACCCCCGCGGCCACAGCTGGCAGAGGCAGCCTGGAAAACCCTTCAGTTTGCTCTGCTGCGCTTCCCATCATCACTTTCCCTTATCCCTCTCCCTCCTGAGGGCTCCAGGAATTTCAGAAATTTGAACTCTTAATTCTAAAGCAGCATTTGGAAGGGCAGCAATAAATCTCCTCGGTTTACAAGTCTCAGAGAGCCAAGGAGGAGGGGGGGGGGGGGGGGGGAAATCTGCTCTTAAAAGCTGCCTGTACATTGAAACTTCCTCTTCTTCCAGACCTTTGTTTAAAGTTCTGCTTGGGTACTTTAACTACAAACATGTTTTTTTTTTTCCTTCCCCCTTCATGAGATGAAAAGATAATTTAAACATCAGAAGAAAATACATTAAAGCATGTCATTTTGATGCAAAATGTTTCAAATGAATTGAATTTTTCTCTCCACGCAGCATTTAGTCTGCAGACATCAAAAGGAGCGAGAAGGAAGCAGTCTGTCAGCTACCAGAGCGGGCCCTCCTGGCCTCAGCACGGAGCTGACCCCTTCCTCTGCGCCTTTCGAGCACAGCTGTGCTTCCAAAAGTCCAACACGACGACAGAGACTATCATACGCAGTTATACAGAGTCACAACATGAGCAGGAATTTTATTTGTGCTAAGCTTTCGATCTGTTTTAGCTGCAGTTGTAGCTAAACAAGTTCTTGAAGAGGTGTTTGGACTGGGCGCTTAGACACATGGTCTAAATTTTTGGGTAGACCTGCATGGTACCCGGAGTTGGACTTGATCCTTATGGGTCCCTTCCAACTCAGGATATTTTATTATTCTATAATTCCTCAAAGCTTTGTGTCTTCTACTCACTGAAGAGCTCAGCGCATGCAGGGGCGTGTGCAGGAGCCCTCACAGACCAACCCCACACACCAACACCTCAACATGGACAAGGAGCACGAGCCACACAGGTGCTAACCATGGCCACAGCCCTCTGCTCAGGGCCAAAATAGGCTGAACGTGAAGAGAAGTCACTCTTTAGTGCCTGTACTTCATCCCTCCCAGCCTGGCCGTGCAGCGGGGCCTGCTGAGCAGATGGCGGCCAGCCTGAGCTGCTCCGCCAGGCCCCGCTCCACAGGGCGCAGGCCCTGGCGGCCATCCCCCAGCCCTGTCACACCCCACCTGCACCCGGTACTGTCCCAGCCTGCTGCACGATCCCAAATTGCCTGAAGGATCCCTCCCAAGTTGCCCCCCTTTTTGTCAGCATCACCTATCTAAAGTGTATCACCGTCTGGAGTACTCGGGTTCTTGCTGAGCACCGCTCACCTGTGTGAAAAATATTCGCTTTTCCCTGCACTTCTCAAGTTTCCTCAAATCCCACATCTGTAAAAGACGCCAGGCTCCTGGTGGCAGAGGGCAAATCCTGTGGACAGGGCTCCCTCCCCACACCTCTCCTCCGCCACCATCTCCTTCCCTCAGGAAAAATGCCTTCACATTTTTAATTCCTCCCTCTCCGAGGTCTGGCCGTGGCACTAATTAAACTTGTCAGCCCACTCTGATTCTGCCACAGCAATTTTAAAGATTTGGGAACAGTTGTTTCGTGGTCATGCCGTGTCCCCATGTGCCATAACACACCTGACATGGGCAAACGCTGTATGTCAGCCCCTCAAGTGGCTTGGTTTCATCAAGCAGATTTCCATAAACTCTTTTCACTTAAAATAAATAAATAAATATATACAGACAGACAAAGCAGCTTTTGTTTTCTGATCCAAACTCTGAATTAAATTTCAGGATGGTTTAAAATCCAGTGTTGTTACCACTCTTCCTTTATGCTGCCAGAGATTACCCAGAAGGGCAAGCAACCTTCACCTCATTTCCACCACAAAGCATCGGTTTTCAGACACAACCTTAAGAAGCAAACAAAACTGAAAACGCCTTCAGAACCGACATAAGTCTGAAATCATCTGCATTTTCCATACTTTGTTCTGCAGGAAAGCTTCAGCAGTGACACGTAATTCTAGATTTGGCCAGGCTACAGTACTGGGAACGAGGGAAAGCGTAGTTCGTGTTTTTCCTTTTCCAAGTCACTCCAAGCACCTGCAATGCTCAGAGGGAGCCCACGCTCACTGGGCTGGCTGCACCCACCGTGGCACTCATGCACAGTGATACAAGCAGAAGCTGAGGGAAAATAAATACATAAAAAAATAAAATAATAAATGAATTGTGGTATTTGCAGCGACTGCTGCAGGATTTCTGGTGACCTGCGACATCTCCAGGCAAGAAGCACCGAGATGTGCAGAGCTGTCCACAAGAGCCTGCTGAGGGTGAACACAGCCGGGATGGAGTCCTGAGAAGCCTGGGTTTTGTCTTACAAACACATATTTCAACACATTAGAGACCCCTGCTTTCCTAAGATCGTTAATTACCTGTCTGGTTCAAATTACTTGCAACTTCCTAGAAAATACTCCTCTGTGGCAACCAGCTTTAATGACTTTCACGTAACCGAGTGCTTCTCGGTGCCACCAGCTGCCTCGCTTTCAGCTTTGAGGACACGCGCTCGATGAGGGAGATAAATCACGATGTGACCAGAGGCTCCAAGGGTAGGGGTCCACGGGGGACCCCTTGGGATGGGGAAGATTTGGGATGCTGCCGTCATGATGCCTTCCACAGGTGCGGTCTGACAGTGATGAATGGGCGCAGCGCCACAGCCAGCCTCTGCTGCTAGACAGGGGGCAGGCTTCCTACCGAGCCTCCGAGATAAGGGGCTCAGGTTCAGCTTGGCGGCGTACCAAAACGAGGGTTTGGGCATTCACAATCTGTAGTTTTAAACTCGGGAGGTGACTAAACTGAGATTAGTGTAGAAAGCAGAATAGTAACCAACGAGTTCCCTCAGTGCCTTGAGGTGAGAACAAACGCAGCAACAATGCACTGCAGCAAGAAAGCACTTCAAAAGTCCTCAACTTGACAAAAAAAACACAAACACTGCATCAAGACTAACTACACAGAAGCTACAACCCCCAAAACCAAGCCTCTGAGATCCCCAACCAAACACAAGCAGCAGCTGCTCATGAGAGCCGCCAACCAGCTGCACATCGCTGTTGGCCAGGCGAGATGTGAACCCCTCTCCCCACCACCAAAACCAGAATTTTTACAGACCGAGAGCATCGGGAAAAACAAATACAAGATCAGCAAAACGTTAATTGAGCTGTAAATACACTGAGGCTGGTCTAACGTCTATACTGCACGGCATGTTAAAGAATCACAGAATCACAGAATTTCTAGGTTGGAAGAGACCTCAAGATCATCAAGTCCAACCTCTGACCTAACACTAGCAGTCCCCACTAAACATATCCCTAAGCTAAAGAAAAAAAAGGTTTGAGCAGATTTTGGATGTGGACTGCTGTTACCTTGTATTTGGATCATGGCAGGATGAAAAAATGACTATTAGGAGAGGATACAGAACAGCAGTAGCAAAATGTACACGTGTCAAATATAAGCAGTATTAACTCAGCGGGGCTGCCGTGCTTCTTAACCTCAAGTAGCAACTAACCAGGGTCTGTTTCTTATTTTAAAGGTTAACGTTTTAAAGTGAGCAAACAAATATATAACAAATCCTTTTTATGATGGAACTCGCCGAGCTAGGCTGTTATGAGGGAGACCTGTGGCTTCTTCTGGAGTTTGTTTTTGCAGCGTCTGAAGCCGTATCACATTATGTTTTGTTACCATTTTCTAAAACTGAGAAACATTAAATAGTGGGTTCCCATGAGATCGAGGATACGCTTCATGTTTTCCTCCAAGAAATTTATATATATATTTATATATGGAACTAAATTGTAGGAAGTCATAGCGAAAGGTGAACTCCGATGAGAGCAGTGCCCCCAGCAGCTCCGCTACACCCCCGATCAGTGCAGCTCAGCACCCCAAAGGGCTGTCCTCACATTGCACTGCCAACACCCTGCTCTTTCAGGGAGTTTCAGAAAAGAACAAGTTTTCAGGAAGGATTTAACTAATCGATGCTTTTTTGTCACGCTATTTGTCAAGCAGCGCCAGGCATCCTCATCAGACGGCAAGACAAAGAGATGAGAGCAGAGCCAAGCTGGGTCGGTGCTCTCACGGGGGGGAGCCTCTCCTCAAGAGCAAGGCACCACGAGAAGAGCAGCATCTTCAAATTAATAATAGAATTAACAAGAGAATCACTGCAAGGTCTTCAGTGCTGGGAAGTACCCTGATCCCAAACCAGCCTTGAATTCATAGGGAAAACCAACAAAACCAACCTGCAGTAAGGTGTGGGTCTTGATTTGACTAGCAGAGAGCCCAACATGAAAAAGCACTTTTAAAAATCATCAGTAACTCTGGTGAAGTGCTTCTTCTATAAATCAGTGGGAGTTCTGCAAGTTTTTATCCCTTCCTATGCGAAGCATATAGGACAACCTCCACCTGCTGTTCCTCTTGCCCATCTTGCATGTCCTGGTGTTTGGCTTCAAACACAGCGTGGGGTTTGAAGCCTTGGAG